GCAGTAAGCTGCTACCAAGTCCCCTCTCAGCCTTCTCCTTTCCAGGCTGAAGATTTCCAGATCCCTCAGCCTTTCCTCGTATGGCTTGCCATTCAAGTCTCTGTTCATATGGGTGGCCCTTCTCTGGACTTTCTCAAGCTTTACCACATCCTTGTTAAAGTGTGGAGCCCAGAGATGGATGTAGTGTGCAGTGCTCCAGCTGCAATCTCACCAATGCCAAGTAGAGTAGGAGAATCACTTTGTTGGTTTTGCTGGAGATGCATTGATTGATACATGCCAGGGTATTGTTGGCCCTGCCAGCTCACATTCAGACTGTGGTCCATTATTACCCCCAGGTCCCTTTCATTCATAGTGCTGATTATGTTGGCGTTGCCAAGCCTGTAGGTGTGCTGGGGATTGTTTGTCCCCAGGTAGGGCACTTTACATTTCTCAATGTTGAACTTCATCTGGTTCTGGTCCACCCAACTTGCAAGTCTGTCTAGGTCCACCTATATCTGCAGCCTATCTTCAAGCGTGACCATGCTTCCCCATAAGTTGGTGTCATCCATGAACTTGGCCAGTGAGCTCTTTACTCCGAGAGCCAAATCATTGATGAAGATGTTGAATAGCACTGGACCAAGCACTCACCCCTGCAGGGCACCATTGGCCACTTCTCACTAAGCTGACACAGATCTGTTCATTAGAACTCTCTGGGTCCTTCCCCACAGCCAGTTTCCTATGCACCCAACTTATTGTTGTCCTTGATTCCCAATGCAATTTTAGTTCAGTCACCACCTTAGGATTTCTAATCTGATCCCTACAAGTGTGGGCCATAGGTATATAGTCCTCCTTTTGGGCTGTCCCTAGCTTCCATTGACTGTACACCTCTTTTGTCCTTCTTAAGAGGATGTTAATTGCCCTGTTTAGCCAAGAGGGCTTCCCCGCCCTTTTGCTACATTTCTTCCACATGGGAATGGGCTTCCTTTGTGCTTCAAGAATCATGTCCTTTAGGAACAACCACTCTTCATTCACTTGTATTGCCTTCGGTCCCTGGCTCCTTAGCACATTCCCTACTTATGACCTGAGCTTGTTGAAATTTGCATTTTTGAAGTCCAAAACTTCAAGCTTGCTATCCGATTTGTCTGCCTTGTGATGGACTGTGAATGTAATGGTTTCATGATTGCTATCACCCAGGCTGCCCTCTATGTTTAAATTGGTCACCAGATTGTCTTATTTTGTGGATGACCTTTGGCCA